TGCTAGCAAGGTCTGGGTGCATTTGAATAATGTACATACAGCATATATTTACAGAAAAGGTATCGTCGCGCACGCTGTCTCGTCGCTTTTCTTGGCCTGTCGCTTTTTAATTTTAGTAAAAGTGTGAAAGACCCCCCAATCATTCATGTTGTCTTATGTGCAACTAATCCTAGCAGGCTACGGTCTGACGTGAACTGCCCTATCAATTTTGTCTCTCCCCCATTTCTTCTATTTTTGAGTCTCTCTCTCTCTCTTTATCTTGCTCTCTCTTTTTGAAGGAAAACTGAAAAGGGGCGTACGTGTGCCCCCCCCCCCCCGATCCGCCCCTGTTAATGGCACCGAGTACGTATGAACCGGCCATGGTACATGGGAACATTTGTTTGTCCATTTTCTTTCTCGTTTGAAGCCAAACAAAGTCTTAGAAAGGGTGCACAGCTAATGTGTTGCAGTCTCAGCTCTTTTTGTTGTGGATGACATTCCGTTTCAAAGTGGATTTAGTACCAGACATATCTTCACCTTGAGAATGGATTTTTTTTTCGTTTTTTAATCATCTAGGTTCGTTTCCTTACAATTATTTCATGCATTACGTACCTTTAACACTCTAATCATACGCGCATGAAGCGTGTGATCCTTGGTCACTGGTTAATCAATATCCAATCAGTGATTCAAGAATTATATCCTTCATCTGGCCATTGTGTGGATTGAGCGTTGGGCCCTAAATGAACTACTCGACAAAAGAGGGCGATATGCAAGATTATCAATAAACCGTCTGGGTGCAAGGCCCAAATTCATGATGGCTCTGCTAACCACATAATTCCGCCGCTTACAAATCGCCATTTTGTACTAACTGCTCTAGCACAAAAATTCTGTGCTAAGCCCTGTAAGCACAGTCGCATGTACAACGGATTTTTGACCCCACGAACTTTGGACCCGTAATTGTAAGCATCAATATGCCTTGTCTGAAGTACTTAGCCCATAGATGTTTACCCACGACTGTTTATAACACACGGTCCCGAGAAGAGCCTAAATAAACTGGCCCTTCCTCCATGCTCTAGGGTTCTGACAGCAAAAAAAATGGGGGGGGGGAGGCGGGCTTATGATAATTATTGCAACGTTGTTAAAAAAAATTCAAGAACGAATTAAAGGAGGGCGCAATTGACCATACCACAGCAGCCGGGCGTAGCTACGGGGGGGGGGGAGCCGCCCAGCAAAAAGTCCCCCCCCCCCGGGCCCCCACTGAAAATTTGGCATCCTGAGAAAAGCACAGCCATATGAGATGCCATGGTTAGCTGGAAGAATATAAAGTCCCTTTTTTTCCGCGAGTGCGTTATTCACCAAAACTTTTTTTTCCGCGGGTGGCTGTTTATTGTAACGTCCCTTGGCGCGAATGATGTGACGCGAACAGAGGTAGTTCTTGTCCAATAGTGTCAGCCATGATATAACAACCTCGTCCAAAATGTTTACTTTATTTCCAACCTCGTTTTAAATAGTAAGCCCTGGATAGGAAACTTTCTTCCTGTATCCTGATTCGTTACCGCAATTTGCTGATAATAGATTTAAATCGTGTACATGTAGTTGGTATTATTTCCAACGTACATTACGTGTTTTCACTATTATTGCAATTATAACGTCCATGCCTTCTCCATAATACTCAGTTTTCTTTCCAGTTTGCTCATATTAATATGAAATGTGATAATGCATATTGGCGGGCCAGATTGTAACATTTGAACTTCCAAAAAAATCGCGTTTTCATAACTCACGGCGCTTCGAATTGATGCTGTTTTTACCCCAGACACCGCATACAAAACAAAAGCTAATGTAACGCACATGCAAGGCACCAGACTATTCCTCATTTGCAAACGTGTTCAAAAATCTTGCACTGCAAATCATCCAATACCAGGGTGAGAGAGCAGGTAGTGGTTGGCGCGTACTGCTCAACGCCCTGGGGACGAGGTTGTGATATATACGTTTTCAACAGCGTCCCCATTGGACCGAATCTTAAATCCAAAACTGTGTTTGCTTTCAAGAAAAAGCTCAAAAATGCCATTTGTTCTAGGCCCTACGTATTCGTAGCCTAGTTATTATCTACTTAAAATTAGTTGTCTACCTCCCCTTCGTATTTAATTCCATGTTGAATTTGTTTTCTCCGTCTTTGTGTTCTGTCTCTCTGTGTGTTTCACATTGTAAACGTTCTTGTATTTTGTGTTATGTAACTTTATTATGTAACAATAGGGGACCCATATCTCACAAGCCCTGCTTCTAAATGTGGTCCCCTCCTCTATGTCACCAGTTTTCTTTTAAAGAGAGTCTTTCTTTAGTCTAAAGTATATTTATATTATTATTGCTCTCGCTCAGTGTATTTATTTACTTATTTGTTGTGTCAAAGTGGATATAAACCAAACTTGAACTTGAAACGTGAAACGTGAAAAAAAACAAGATGTGAAAGGTTGCCAAAACATAACAAAAACAAAGTCCTAAAACGTAGTAGTTTATGACATATTTTGGAGGACGAAGTGGACATCTGTTTTTTTTTTCTTCTGCTTTCAGAATAGCCGAAAGCCGGGTTAATTTTTAAATTCTGACACCCGAAAAGATTTTCCTTTTTTTTCCTGGCGGAAAAAATGCGGACATCTGCATTGTGTCTTGCTCGCGGAGCAGAAAATCAGATCGAACGTTTTCGCCATTTCCATTTTCTGCTTTTCTGCTCTCTGTAAAGCAGATTTTAACCAGGCGGTCGATTAAATGGCTAGGGAAGACAATCGAGCGTTATGACCACGTAGGCCAACATTTTCTTTATACCTTTCAACTTTTCAGCGGGTGCATACCTATGTTCCCCAATACCGATGTTCCCCGAAATCCTTACCATATACCCTAACCCTAACTCTAACCCTAACCCATGGAGCTATATAGCTCCATGCCCTAACCCTAAGGATTTCGGGAAACATCGGTATTGGGGAACATAGGTATTGGGGAACATCGGTTAGACCCCCTTCAGAGAAGCAGACTTTACTGAGGCGGCCCACATAATTCCACCAAAATCTGTTTCGGCCCACATAATTTTTTTTTTAATCGAAGGTGGCTGCAATTTAGGCCCATGTTATGTTTCAAAGTGGAAGAGCGACAGAACTCTGCCAATGCGCAACACACACCCGTCCCCACCCCTCACCCTAAAAAAAAAAGCAGAAAAGTTCCCAATTTTTAAGGCACCCTTTTCTTACCATGGGATAATATGAAGGATGTTTGGGTTTTTTTTTTTGCTCACCGTAGGTCTACCATTATCAGCTTCAATGTATCCAATGTACAGTATATACCGCAGAAGTACGTACGGGGTATAAACCAGCCAATGAGAACGAGATATGCCAATATTGGACTTTACCATAGTGAGGAAAAATTCGCATCCGGGCATGCTGTCATTTATCACGAAGGCCCCATTCAATGGCGGAAAGCATTACCGTTTGCACAATTGCAAGCACGATGGTTTGGCCATTAAAGGAGGCTCTGCTGTGATCACGTGCCGGGATTCATCTACGTACAATATAGCAGGAAATGGCAATAATAACCGAGTTTGCATGACTGAACGCATGCAGTTAACAATATACATACCTGTAGTTCAGAAAGAAGCCACTGTTAGGCTGTTCGTAGTCTAAACAAAACTGACTAAAATGAATCGTCAGACAAGAATTTCATTTTGTGGTCTTCATATTTTAGCCTCCCCGCCATTCACTCATATACATGTATACGCTGTACATCGTACTATAACCCACCAACAAACAACACTTGCCAAAAAGAAAACAAAAAATGATGCCAATCTGGAGTGAAAACTTTCTCCATAATTGATTCAGTTCGAAGTAAACACATAACACATACAGATTTCCTTGTTGATTTTAAACCCAGATATATTCATTTCACGTAACAGCAGGGATGGATACTAGCTTTCAGGAAACGGGGGATTGATATTTGAGTGAAGGCGCGCTGAAGGCACGCCCTGCTGCTAGGGGTCCAGGGGCATGCCCCCTCCCTCCCCCCCCCCCCCCCACGGAAATTTTTGAAATCTCATGCCTTTTCCTGCATTCTTAGCCAATTTGAGATACACTTAGGAACTTCAGGTTCCATTTATTATTTTTGGCCCCATTTTACTACATTTTGTAGTATATAACATAAGTCTACCGAAGAGTGCCATATCAACCGGGGGGGGGGGGGGGCAAGGGGCTCTTTTCTCAGTATTTCACATCTGATGACATATTGCTGCTTCTCTTCTGGGTCTCGTGGAAACAAAGGCCGTGTGCAAGTGAGTCATTCTAGAAATTTAGGGCCTACGGTGGGACATTTTTCCAGTTCCTGTTAGGTCTACCTCTGAACTTTGTAATTTGCCATTCGAGTGTCATTAAAAATGACATCCAACTATTATTTTATTTGTTGGGTGGGTAGTGTCTGCTTATACTCACTCTTGAAACCTTACTGCCTTAAGGAGTGCATCCAGAATAAAAAAAACAACAACAACAACAACAAAAGAAGAGCCCAAATTAACCCTAACTCCCTAGCGTCTTTTACTAGGAACTGGAACAAGTCCATCAAAATCCATCAATCACTGTGTGTCCAATACAAACTGTATATGACATAGTGGAATCCACCACTGACACCCTGGTGGACATTCATGGACTTGCTACACATGGCTTTTATCACAATAGCATTACAGGAAGCTAGGCAAAATCAATCGGATACCCCTAGCACTGCTTCAGGCCATTAGGCCAAAGTCCATAATACTCCATCAATATTTAGTCATGCCAGGCCTTCTGGACCAAGCCCCCCCAAATCCACCAAAATGGGGGATGGATTTTGATGGAGTTGGGGTGGTTAGGGTTAATAGAATTACCCAAATACGTTGTATAAAAGAAAGGTGTGGAACTGAAACTTAAATACATTGGCCATGAGTTCTCTGCTGCATCATGTAAAAAGTGCACATAGTTTTGCCCTTCCTAAGGACATGTTCTTCAGCTGTATGTCTGTCCCATATTTCTTCTTCAGAAGCAAGCCTGTATTTCAAACTAACCCTGCAATTTTTAATACAACTTGGTGGTTTTCTTGTAGAGCGCGTCGACCACTTTGCCCATGCTCTGTATTGTGTTCAGTGACATCTCGTACGTCTGGTCCACGATCGGTTCATCGAAGACAATCAGTACGCCCTCACCTTGGTCCAGAATACCTGCAAAATAAAAAAGGGATTTTACAAAATTCTAGTGTAGTAGAGTCTATTCTATTTCCATTCCTCCCAAGTCTTCCCAAGCCCTCACAAGTTCCTCACAAGTCCCCACAAGTCCTCACAAGTCCGTACAAGTCCTCCCAAATCCTCCCAAGTCCTCCCAAGTCCTCAAAAAAAAAACCTCAAAAGTCTTCACAAGTCCATTCAGGGCTGTGAGTAACCACTGATAAAAATAGCTGAAAACACCTTCATAAATCCTCACTAGTCCTCAGGAATCCTCACAAATCCCCACAAGTCCGTACAAGTCCGTACAAGTCCTCCCAAATCCTCCCAAGTCCTCAAAAAAACCTCAAAAGTCTTCACAAGTCCATTCAGGGCTGTGAGTAACCACTAATGAAAATAGCAAGTGATGGAAAACAGCTGAAATCCAAAACAAAACAAAAGCTGAAATCAGCTTTAAAGCTGAGATTTCACACCCCTGTCCATTACAAGCTATCCAGTCTCATGTCAAGTCACAAGCTATTCAAATGAACCATAACAAAAGCAGTCCTTTGTTTTTTCTTGACGTTTTTGAAAGGACTTGTGATTTATTTTTGACAGGACTAAAATTCATCACTCCATCATACATGCAGTAGCCAGAGTTTTGTTCAATGATTAAATACAGTAAAATGCTGAAGTTTTTAAGAGTAGTACTAATTATCATTATGATATGAATGATAGAATACAAACTGAAGCCAATTCGAAAAAAAGGAAAAAATAATCTTTGATAAATACTTAACAGAAACATGTACATATACATGTAATAATAAATTAAATTAACTAGTGTGTTATATAAACAAGTAAAATGCAACATTTGTTGGAATATCTGCCCCCTAATTTAAAAAAAAAGTCATTTAAATTGGTAAGTAGTGCAGTGTATGCAACAGACTGAAATCTCATCAGAAGTTGCAATTGCCATTTCTGAAAATAGAGTAGTAGATTAGTACTCTTCACTGCAAAAAAGTAATTATGACGAATATACAACTGTTTGAAACAACAGGAAGACTGACTAAGCAAGTTCTATAAATAACCATTCATTATCAGATACTATCTTGTGCATGTTTTCAGTACAATCATTCACAAATGTATTGGTGTGTTTAAAACACAATTAATTGAGTATTTTAGTCTTCATGAAGCTTAGCATATGTATAAGTACAATGTATATAAGTGCTTTCTAAATTTAAAAACAGCTTTTTATAACAATGGTACTTACCATGGAATTTCTTGTCTAAAATCATCTGCGACAGTTTTCTTTCAACGAGGTTCTGTTGGAAGAATCACACACAAATGTTATCAACTGTATATAGGGTATATATATCAGTTCTGACTTACCTAGTAATACAATGCAAATCAGTTGGTACGTAATGAATGCCTTGGAACAACCGTGTTTTTCTGTATTTTGTCGCTGGATTTCCAGCGACAGGCTGGGGGCACTTTCCCCCCCCCCCCAGATTTACCCAAATGCCCCTTTTGCCAACATAAATGTGCCCCCTAGAGCATAAATGTGTCCCCTTGCGATGAAAAAAAAAAAAACCCTAAAAGTTTCCGACATTTGTTTGAAGTAACCATTTCCCAAATTGGTATAGATAGTTTTGATATGAACGAGAAATATGAAAACCAAGCCCCAAAATGCGCCCTGAAAATGGGCACATAATGCGTAGTTTGCTGCATAATGGCCAGTTTTAAAGAGCGCCCTCTATTTTAGAAGATGGTACCCCTTCCATTTGATTTTACAGAGGCCAAGTGTTCAGTGAAAAATACATGTCGATCTTTTAGCACGAATGTGCCCCCCAAAAAAATACTTAGCAAGTGCCCCTTTTCAGTGATGCCCCCCCCCCCCCCCCCCAGTTTGAAAACCATTCCGCTGCTGCTGTTGCTAATCCCTGGCTACATGGCACATACAGCTTTATGGCTTCAGACTAGTGCCCCATGAACAAAAATAAAAACGACAAATTGGGGAACCGCCAACATAGGGCTGGATAGCCCAGTTGGTAGCCTGGAATTCGCAAGTTCTAACCCCTCTTGTTCAACTTTGTAAATTATAATAACAAACCTAGTCAATTGGCCTTTGTGGTTTATTTGAATACTTCATTTTAATTTGAATGTGCACAACCAATGGCACCTGAGCATGAGCCTCAACCGCTGTTAGCAACAGACCATTATCATGTTGCAGCCATTTCATTTTTCCCATTCAGATCAATGTAACCAAAGTGAGGCTGGAAGGAAAAATAGTCTGGTTCCTTTTTGCACAAAAACATTATCATTCAGTACTGTTATTGGATACAGGGAACATGACTAAAATGGTGGAAGCATGATAAAGGTCTATATGCTCAACTCTCCCTCCAAGTTAACTCCCCCAACTTTCTATTTGTAACAGTTGAGGGATACTACTTGCGCACGGAGTCCATACAAGCAAGAAAGAAAAAGCCTCTGACTGACCAATGGGAGCTTGATGATGCTGGCTACGTGGGCCACTTGCACCCTGGAGAACGGTTCAATGATGCGGCAGAGATTCTGCTCCAGCAGGTTATCATACAAGGAGTCAAGGTGGGCCTGGATGATAGGGTCCTGCTCAAGCTCCTTCTTGTACTTGTTTTTTGTCTGATTCAATCAAGATAAAAGTTAACTTTAGATTTATCGCACAAGAAATAGAGAGGGAAGCAACACTTGACTGCAAGGAAACTCTTTCATGTACTTAATTTAATATCCACGAAAAAAGTCAGTTCATAATCGATGCAAACACTGTTACAAATATGTGATTTAGGGCACATTTACACACACAGAAATGCATACTCTTCAAAATCTGGTGAATTTCACCAAAGATTTTTTCACTTCAAATTTTCTTCGCAAACTCATGAGGTGTGAACGGGTCATGACCGTGGATATTTGATCACGACAAGCATCACACACTTGTTTCAGAATATTCCAATTTCACTAAAAATGTACCTGTTTAAATATCTGGGGGGGGGGGGGAATATCATCAGCCCTGTATATTTATCAGTAGGTTTACAACTGAGAGTAGCTAAAAGATGAACCAAAGTCTTCGAATTACACATTTCAGTGCAACAAGGTCGTAACTCGATTCTGCAACAAAGTCATTTCTCGCGTGAATATGCTCCGTGCCGCAAGGTGGTATCTCACGGATCGCGATGTCCATTGACTTTGTGTGTACATCCTGGTTATTTTAAGCGAGATACGACCTTTTGACATTGAAAACTCAAGTTTCACGTACATGACGTCACACGCCATTTTAGGAGATACGACCTTGTTGCACGGACACAGCGATTTTGTGTATGTATAGAAAATCACGTCTGTGGGCAAGTTTAAGTTTTGCAAAATAGGCATAATCACTCCATGCTCGAGCAGGGATAAGAATTCTACAAATGCATGCAATACATGTATCTGGTCATCTGAAGCAATTAACTGGGATTTTCTCTTTCTGCTGAAGAAATGGCTCAAAAACTTGGAACGCATCACAAACTCAAGAAAATTGTTTTTCAAATCAGAATCTCAGATGGTAACATTGCATTATGCACTTGCATGCTTACATGGAAAAAGTCACACTGAAGCTAAAATATGAACATGGTTTTTACTTTATCGAGAACAGGACTTACTGTATGAGTATTAATTAACAAATCAAGTTTTGACACGCGACCTGAGCATGTCATTATAGTGAGCTTGATGACCTAAATGTACAAAATATTAGAGTTTGTCAACTAGTGCGGGAAAAATGGATTGAACTGAGCCACCTTACCTGTTGGAAGTCTGACAGTGACCTGTTTTTACTGGCGTTTGCTATGCACTTCATAGCCTCCACGTTGGGCCCAGCATACCGCAAAGCCAACTTGCCACTAACGATGGACTGAACATCATCAGCACTGACAAAGTAAAAGCAGAAAATTTTCTTTTTTACTATTAAAAAAAATTAAGTAAAACCCTCTTGAAGTGGAAATGGTTATCTCTTGCGTTTTGCCTAATCTGTTCAAAAAAGGTAACATTATAACAGGGCCTGCTACCAAAATGTGCTATGACACTTTCCAAATCAAGTGCCCCCTTTAAAGCTATAGTCCATCATTTGCAGCCATCCGAAAAGTAACTGGCCTAATTATTGTTGAAAAACATACTTGGTTGAAAGATAGTAAGGGAACTAAACTCCCTGTGAAATTATTCTTTCTGAGAAGCTGTCATTTTGAAGTAATTAACGAAAGAAGGCATTTCCAACGGTAATTCTTAAGAAGCACCGTAGGAAAATTTTAATTTGTAGTTCGTTCTGTTCTTCAGCGCAGCACGCACAAGTATTGGAACAACGCACACGCGCGCGGTTGTTATAATTCGTCGGATCAGTGCGCGACGTCGCGTAAAGCTGCAATTCAAAACAATTCAAAACATGATTCAGTAACTTTTGATTTGAAATTGAGATCTTAGAATGCTGTTTTTCTGGGAATGTACAGCTGAAGCTTAGCTGAAACTTCATCAGGTTAGTTGCTCAGTTCATTAGATTTTGAACCCTTTTGTTGCTTCAAACGAACAAAATGCACAAATTACAAATGATGGACTGTAGCTTTAAGTGTTCTGACATTTATGTGAGGAGTTCAGGCAAAATGAGACAGTAACGTGAGTGATGGTTCAATATACCTCCCTATAATGTAATGTCCTTTAAAATACACACTGATTTGATTTAATGGGTTTTTAAATCTAGAAATGGGTTGTACAAAAAGCAAAACAATGTTACTTTTGTGTTGCAGACTACAGTTTGAGGGGACTTTAACAACAAAATTGAATTTTTTTTTGTAGCATTAGTGACGACCAACAAAACGCATATTTTCCAAAAGAGAATGAATAGGTTGAATTTTTCTTTCCATTTTTGAGTCCCCCTTACCCCCAAGGTTGTTGTATGGCTGGTTTGATTCAGCCTGATCAAATACTTGTAAAGCAGTGAGAGGTCAAAATAGCCTCATGGCTTATAAATGTAATGTTAGTGATGGTGTTCACCATGAATTTCTATATAGTTCATGCAGATGCAATGAGGTTGATAAAACAGTACGCGGTTAACTTAGGAACACAACAATCTGAAAGATTGCGGACACACAAATTAGGGAAGTAATTCCAACTTCACATCACAAATTTCCCATCACAGGAGTCAGGTTGGCGTAGCGGTACTTTCCTCCCCTTCCACCGCTGTGACCTGGGTTCGAATCCCGCCTGGGTCAATATGTGGATTAGGTTTTCAGTCCCTACCTGATTCCGTGGGTTTTTCCTCAGAATACTCTTCTGGGCTTTTCCTCCCACCTCTAAAACTGTAATTTCTTCACAATGTCTTCTCTTTACTGGGACCCATGGGAGATCAGTGGATTCCACTGAATGGGCTACCCAGTTAAAATAAGAAATACATAAATAAATAAATTACAGTATAGGTTACTCACCAGTTCAGCATTATCTTTGACAACAACATGTATTTGAGAGCATCAATGGCTTTGGGGCTTTCCACCGAGTCGTAGCCTTCGAATGCTTCATAGAAGTACGAGAAGGCAGTCTTGAAATCCCGCTCATCAGCTGCATGTAGCACACCTGGTTAACAATTGATACATTTCATAATAAACACTTGTCAAATTACTTCTGTTTGTTGTTCCTTGCTTACATGGTTCTGTCCCTGAGTGTAATTCCGATTTGTTAATTTGTTTCAACCCTTCTAGATACCGGAACCTTGGTCTTCAAATTCTTCCCTGCTTGCACAAATGTAGTGCCTAAAACTAATAAAATATGGGGGTCTGTTTAAGGAAAGTTGTGAGCACTTTCATTTTTAAGGAACATTTAAGTGGCACTGCTTCATTTAAAGGTATGAAGGTGCATTTTCTTTTTACATTTGAAGCAACAAAATTGCTCAAAATCCTAAGTACATGTAGGGTTTTTAACAACTAACCTGTGGAAGTTCTAGCACAAAGGCAACTACACATTTTGAGAAAACACAGACAACGTCTGCACACTTTCTTGTGTCTCGTAACTGGATCTGTTGCCAAAGCAAAGTGTGCCCACAGGCAAACTTTTTAATTCCAAGCAATACCATTTCAGGTGGAATAATGTCACGGCGTTTTTGGTACCATCCCTATCTGAACCCATGTGAAAAAAATTCTCTCATTACATTGATAGGTCCACTTCCACGTTTTTACCAATGTTCCTATCTGGGCCCAATTTCATAGCGCTGCTTAACAGTAAGCAGAAAAGTTGTGCTTACTATAGCAGTGCTTATATGTTGTGCTTATATGCTGCTTAAGCACTATTTCATGATAATGGTTGCGCGCGCATGGAGATTTCCATTGTTACGTCACTGATTTAAGCAAAGTTTTCTTCTGGGGTTAAGCGTGCTTTTGCTGTGCTTACTGCTTAACGGTCCCTATGAAATAGATGGAGGCTCGGTAAGCACAAAGTCGGCTGTTAAGCAGCGCTATGAAATTGGGCCTGCCTTTAAGAGTTGATTCATAGAATGAAAAATGGGGGGGGGGGGGACTACTGTAGTCCTTATGTTGTCTGAATTTTAATCCAAGTATCACAGACACAAAAAAGGAAAACAATTCCGCCCTAAGGAAACTACCGAAATGGGGTACCCCAAACAGACATAATGGCAAACCTTGAAAAACTATGAGGTTGTATTTTTTTTTCTGTTTTAACTACTACATGTAAGTGAAGATACTAATAGTGCGGCAGATAGGTGATGGGATTGTGCCTTTGATGATACGAGTATGGCAATTCGCACACAGTCAGAGTATGTCACGAGAAAGATATTTGGCTTCAGGGCCATCGCAGAGTTGTCCTTTGAAAAAAATATAGGTAGAATAACAAGCAATATGCCCGTCATTTTGAAAATTTCGAAAATTGCTTGTTATTCTACCTCTATTTTCTCAAAGGACAAATCTGCGAAGGCCCTAGAGCCATATATCTTTCTGAAGACATACTCCGACTGTGTGCTAAATGCCATGCTTGTATCATCAAAGGCACAATTTCTCCCAAATATTCCCCTATCTGCCCCACTATAAATGGCCTACCTGACTGCAGATCTAGGGCAGCCTGCAGCTTTGGAGGGCAGTAAATTGCATTAGCTGTGGTTCGGGCTGATGTTAGAGCGGCTCTGTGAGAAACAATATCCAGGGAAAACATTTGAAATAGGTCAGCTGATTGAAGTGTCACTTTGAATGCTACGAATGTCTACATGTATTAACAAAAGAATAAGTGGGGAAAATATTTAGTTTACATCTATCTAAAAGAAAAAGGGTTCTTTTGAAGTTCATTTTATGTATCTGTTACAGCTTTGATGTTTAAAATCTTTTACAACTCCTGCTTTTGTTGAATGGATGCAAATTTTCGTCAGTGTGCTTTCAAATTTGCTGGAAACTTTGAACGGCTACTTATTTCAGAAGCAGATAACATGACAACAGAGTAGTTTGCAAGAGAGTAGTTGCAATAAGGCATAAAGGGCAATTTTTTTATTATTATTGATATCAGGCTTCCAGTGACAAAAATAAATCAGCGTATCGTATGCTTTCGTAAAAAAGTACCCGGATGACTGCAATATTATGTCAGTAAAAGTACCCTGATGACGACAATACATGTACATGTTGCATTTTTGATACTGTCCTCATCTGGGCATTTGAACAAATTTCGCTGGTTCCCGCATAATCAAGAGTGCAGAGACTCAGTTGTCAACCAGCCAACAGAGGTTAGTGCACGGTAACGTCGCACGTGGACGCAGCGCGCAGCAGATGCGCACACTGTTGTCAATAACCACAATGGCGGCTTCGAGGGATGCGAAATTTGCTTTGATAAGTGGGGAATTTGATAAATTATGATATTGTCCTGATTTTTACTTCTTGCGGATCAAGTCAGCCTGATAAAAATAATAATTACAGTAATATTGGATTGCTTTTTTCTGGGAGATACAAGAATATATTGCACTCACTATAACAATATTGTACTCGTCTCGTGCACTATTGTTATAGCTCGTGCAATATATTTTTGTATCTCCTCAAAGCCATTCAATTCAATGGGAGGGGGAGGGATTAAATACCTTGATTTAGGGAGATTGCCCAGGGCGTGGTACACCTTACTTTCTAGAAGTTGTACCTCTACAAGTAAAGCCTTGTCATCCATTTTCTTCAACTCCTTCAATAACCGAGACCCTGTTGGAAAGGTACATATAAACATGTCCATCATGTTGGTGCAGAATTAATTTGTTCCAGCGGAAAAATTCTGCAAAATACAATGCCAACCCTCGGCAGTAATCAATCTGAGAGTGTTCAGTCAATTTAGACTGGTGCCAAGGACAGGCTATGCTCCAACACAAATCAATGCCTCGCCGTCCATTTTCTTCAATTCCTTCACTAACCAAGACATTAATTAACCCTAACTTTCCCAAATACTCCAAAATCCTCTTTGCAAAATGGAGGATTTTGCAGGATTAAGGTTATGTGGCAAAAGTGTGTGGCTGATTTCAGAGGATGCTCTGTGGCAAGGTCTTAGGCTGGACCTTGTATAAATGCTCAGCCGTGCATAAATTTAGGCCTATATTATACTAGAAAATCCTACGCACTGCTCCAGAATGTCACTAGCTTTGCCTCTACATACTGACAGTGATTGCCGGAGGATTTTGCAGGATTAAGGCAGTGGTCACCCCTCCAAGGACCATATTCAAGAAACAACCAAGGATTTTGCAGGATTGAGGGCACATGCTACATGTACTTTAACATAGAGGCAGTTGGAGGAGTTTGCAGGATTGAAGTTATCCTAGCAAAAAGGCCTAGGGAGTTAGCGTTAATGGAAGGGTACACGTACATATACATGTAGTTTCATTTGTTTCAGTGGCAAAATTCTGTCATACAATGCCCAATTTCACCAGTAAACATTCTAGAAATTACGTGTTCATAGAAGCAAATGCTGCAGACGGATGATAACATTTGAAGGTTTGCAATGTGAAGTCAGTAATAAAAGTACGGTTGCAGTTGCTTCATGCGACATGAAATTTCTTTGGGAGTTTGTGTGTTTCAGAACAGAGCTGGTGGAAACTCAACGCTCCAGACAGTATGCTCTGCCGATCGTCAGGAGACTCGAGTCATGAGAGAAGTCCAAATTATAGCTTACCCACTGCAAGGGCATCTGTGTACTTCTTTGTGTCATAATACAGAGCAATGAGTCTGGATTCTAGCGCTTGCCTCAGGAAGGTGCGTTTCTCAGTCGTGGCCCATTCTATACACTCCAGACACAGGGATACCTAATGGCAATCATAGATTGAAATGGGAGAAAAATTGTTTCACTGGTAAAAAGTCCTGGATATTCCTCTGTAACCCCCCTGCTGTTTAAAAGGTCACAAACTGTCAAAGTTTCCTTCCCCTTCCCCTGCTATACATGTACTTTTAACACACCAATGGTCACTTGACCAATTTTGACCCAGGTAACAGCATGGCTCAGAATGCATGTTTGCATAGGAGGGTTAATACACTCTAATAACTACATGATAGAATGCTTTATAAACACTTTGTTGTGCCACAATTTTATACAAGACAAGACAAGTCTCTGGCAAAGTCTATTCTCTGGAAGTTTTTCATCGTTTTGGTCGATTTAGAAAATTTACAGGGTGTTTCTTCACAATAGCACTGGTTCACAAGAAACAGCGAGTCAATCAGGTACAAAGTGGAATATACATGTACATATAGGTAGGCTGGCCATCTGAGACCGGCAAAAAATAAAGTACAATAATTCATTGATCATCTTCCACCACCTGCCAAAATTATGGATACCTTTAGTTCTCATTCATGTAGAGGCATTAGGCATTAACAGTATCTTACAGATATAGGAAAGCACAAACCCCATGTGAAATGTGACAGTTTTACATGTGCTGGGAAAGCTCTCCGGATAAAAAATATTGATATTATTCCCAATTCACTTTGTGACAATATATTGTGCATGATCTCTGGTGAATATGTTCCCCTCCCCTCCCCCCCCCCCCTTAAAAAAAGGTGAGTTCATTTTATTCCATACTGCATTCAACAATTTTCAGCTGCTATCAAATCATTAACCCTAACCACCCCAACTCCATCAAAATCCATCCCCCATTTTGGTGGATTTTCCGGGACTTGGTCCAGAAGGCCTGGCGTGACTAAATATTGATGGAGTATGATAGCCTTGGACTTACATGTAATGGCCTGAAGCAGTGCTAGGGTATCCGATTGATTTTGCCTAGCTTCCTGTAATGCTATTGTGATAAAAGCCATGTGTAGCAAGTCCATGAATGACAAACAGCGCTTCAGTGGTGGATTCCATTATGTCATGTACAGTTTTGTATTAGACAAACAGTGATTGATGGATTTTGACTGGACTTGGTCCAGTTCCCAGTAAAAGATGCTAGGGAGTTAAGGTTAAGCCTACTCAATTTGCCTGAAATTAACAGTGAAGACAAAACGTCTTTTCTTTTCCGCTGAGAGGAGTGCAGCCGATTGGTTACAGTGCTCCTGACTCATGATCAGAGGGTCAGGGGTTCGAATCCAGCTGCTGGTCATATGTTGTGTCCCTGGGCAAGCCATTTCATCCCACTTGTCTCTCTTCATCCCAGAGAGCAACTGGGTACTAGCAATAGCAGGGCAGTAACCTTTAACCCTAACCTTCCCAAATCCTTCAAAATCCTCTTTGCAAAATGGAGGATTTTGCAGGATTGAGGCTATGGCAAAAATGTGCAGCTGATTTTGGAGGATGCTCTGTGTCAAGGTCTTAGGCCGGACCTTGTGTAGTTTATGCTCCGCCGTGCATACATTTAGACCTAGATTATACTTGAAATCCTCCACACTGCTCCAGGATGGCACTGGCTCTGTCTCAACATATTGACAGTGATTGCTGGAGGATTTTGCAGAATTGAGGCAATGGTCACCCCTCCAGGGACCATATTCAGGAAACAGAGGATTTTGCAGAATTGAGGCTGTATGCAATTTTACATGGAGGCAGATGGAAGACTTTGCAGGATTGAGGTTACATCCTAGCAAAAATGCCTAGGGAGTTAGGGTTAATGAACTGGTATCACAAGTGGGGGAATAGAATTATTCTCAGTCGTTTCATGCCAAGGAAAGCGGAGATAAACGCAGGCCTGATGTGCCATATTGGCTTGTAACGACTTTACTTTGCTGCTGAGATCAACAGACTACAATGGAAATTCCCCACCGATGGACTTCTAAATTGGACTGAGTATGGCAAAGTAACATGAATTTCAAAAATAGGTTTTTTTGTCAAATGGGAGGGAAGACTTACTTCATTTCCTGTGCCAGCTTCCATGTCAAGGAACAGGTCCACCAGGGCTCGGACAAGCTTGGCCGCCTTGGCTTTGTTGACGTAGGACAGGAACGGTCTGGTGAACTTGATCAGTCCACCCAATTCTGAGTAAGATTGGAATTAAATTGCAATACTATGGTCTAATGTACATAGCAAGTGTTTATAATTGAGTTTTCATAAAATAATGTGTTTTGGGTGCCAAATAGCATTGCAACCGCAAATATCTCAAAACATCAAAATTAATATTAATGTATGAATAGTTGTGTGAAATGTAGGCCTACATGTACTGTTGTGCCTGCAACATGTACATGTACAGGTCTGTACTAGACTGGGGCCACCCCTGGGCCAATATTTATTTCTTTTTTTCAATTTGGAGGTGGTTCGAAATAGAATTGTTACATACATGTACTCCTGTGCAGAATCACTTCCAAAAGAACTGGAGTTGCCAAGGCCTAGCCTATACTAATTCAAGTCAAAATTGGTGTACTGACTTGATTTTTAAATGACTTTTTTACTTCAACTTTCATTCTCAAAAATGTATTTGTAGTCTTACTCCTTATTTTAGAAAAAAATGATTTTAGAAAATGTGAACTTGATGCTATCCTGGAAAAAAAAAAATCTCTACACAGATATACCTTCAGCCTGTTTTGTCTTTGCCAAGAGACTCCCAAGTTCCATGATGCTTTGCTCTTTGATTCGAACTCCTTCTTCGTCTGCTGGATCGACATCTTGCTTCACTGTGTCAAAAAAAACACGCTGATTTTAAACATCAATCAGCACCACACAATTTGAAAGTTGAAATTACGAAAGTGCTCATTCTAGGAGCACTTGAAAGTTGAAATAACGAAAGTGCTCATTCTAGGAGCACTTTTGACTCAACAATTTATAGATGTCAGGGAATTCTAAGGTCAGGAACCAGTAATATACTTGTAAACAACACACGTACGCGTACATGTACACAGGGGTCACAATCGTCCTCATCAATGTTGCCAAACTTCTCGGTGACATGAAATTTAGTTCGAAGTTCAAAAACGGTGGCGTCCGAAAATCAGGCACAAAGTCGACTGAGAGTGTTCCCTAACATGCATGACGCAATTGACTTAATCTTGGAAAATTCCAACTTAACATTGGTTGGTTTTAGATAGGGAAATAAAGTAGTGGGTCCTGGGGTGAATAAAGCGCCCTCTATTGATGACTTCATGCCCATCCACCCCGCATCCGCCCATCCGCGCAACCACGCATCCAAGACATCCCAAGCCGTCTCACTCGCTATACTTGTCAATAATTCACTCTCTATAGCGCCCTCTATTGATCACAATTTATTTCATGCCCAGGCCAGGCATTTGCTCTTTATACTGGCCTCTAATTTTGTTTTTAATTATACATCTACGTTCATAAGGTTTATCGCAAATACAAACCGCAAAGGATCATGGGGCTGCAATCGGAGCAACAGCGCCATCACACGGCGGTGGGAAAACGTACACACGGCATGCACGGCATTGCACGGTGCGGTGTGTACGATATTTCTTGGCTGTCCATTTTTCTGACGTTTTGTGTTCGATGGGAGGTGATTATTGTGCTGTTCTGGGTTGCAATAATGACTGTTGTTATCCACAAAGGTATGATCTTTGTTATACATAAATTAAAGTTGTTTTGTTGTACAGAAAAAAAATGTTCTCACGACAAAAAGTAGGATAGCGTGCAGTTAAGTTCTGACCCGACGCGATCGCGATGTGCCGACGACCGGCACGCGACCGGGGAAACACGGGACACTCTGCACTAGTCATGACTGTGCTGTGTCGGCCAATGCATTTAGAGTTTCTGTGCCCCTCAAAAGCTCCCTTTTATGACTCTTTTCTTATCGGAAAAATATGTGGCTTTTATAATGGTTTAATTGTTACTTCTGTCAGCGAACGATGTGTGACTTTTACAGACAATTTCATGATTGTTTATTTATAATAAATTATATTCTGTTCACGAAAATGTAAAAAAAAAAATATACATGTACACATGTATATATTTGTCCTAGTCAGCTAGTACTGTAGTAGGCCTAGCTAGCTAGCCTACTCCATTGTTTTACTCATAAAAATAATTGCGAAGTCTTACGTGGTTTATTTTCTCCGTCAACAAACAATAAATATCTCTATCTTACGTTTCCCCTTCTCTTGATAGATGTCATCATAGAGCATGTTAACACACTCGGATTCCACTCATGCACGGATAAGAAACACTTTCCTCTAGCTCTCTCGACCCAACTGACCCAACAGCAGGATTTCAAAGTAAAATCATCAACTACAGTCTGCAGCTACCGCTTTAAATACGGCCAGCCATATCCTGATGAACTTCACCCAACTTTATTTTTGAGAGGATTCGACCTTCCTGAGACACTGAAAAGAGCACCGGTGAAGAGTCGAGCATTGGATCTCACTACACCACTGCCGGCCATCTGAGAAAATCAAAACTTTGCTGTACCTTTTCTTAAGTTTTTATTTATTTTGTTCATTCTTCCTTAACCCTAACTCCCCAGCCTAATTTACTAGGAACCATACCCATTCAGGCAAATTCCAACACCCACATGGGAAATTGTACACACACACTGTTGGACTTAGTTTCTGGAGGTATGCCAACCCCAGTGTAAAAGACCATCTGTTTAGGGGAACTGTACCTATCCCAACAGATTTAAACACTAACCTACTGTTGGAGTTTGATTGGTTATGGGCAGTTAGGGTTAAGGTTTGTATGCAAAATAAACCAAATTATAAATGGCATTAACCTTCATGTACATGAACGGTCTTCACTTATGATAATGATAATAGAAATTATATCAATTGTAAAAGGTTTTGCAGGTTCATAAAAATAAGAGACATGTTTTATTAAAAATAATGTAAATAAAATTTGGAACAAAGTTGCACACAATAAGGATGCAGAAAATGCAAATTGAAATGATCAAGTCATGTTTTATAAAAGTACATGAACATTGTTTAAAAATGCAATTATGACCTGCGTCTCTTGACGAGAGTTGAATTACAAGTGTAATAGTAAAAAAAACCTGGAAAATTGAAAATAAAATTGGCAAATGCAAGCCTACTCGAGTGTCATAACAAGAGTTGTATGAACAGTTGTCAAAATATCAAGGAATATGGCCTATGTCCCTCAAATAAAAAAAGCCGAGTCTCAAAACAACAGTTGGAATAAATAGGTGAAAGTAATTGGCAAATATGAGCTGTGTTTCTTAATTAAAAAGCTGGCAATATTTGAGCAGATTCTCGTAAAAAGAGTTGGATAAAGTTTAAAAACTTGGCAAATATCACCCGTGTTTCTTAAATAACTGATAGCCCCAACATTGGCACAAATTTACTTGGACGAATACAAGAAAACCTCAGACATATTATAAAAAAAAAACAATTTATAAAATACACAACAGTTATTTACATACATGTACAGCTGTACACATGTAACTAGCTAGGTAGGCATGTTAGCTTAGAAATTTTGGCGATCGTGTATCAACGGGCCCGGTTCCTGCATGGTTCCTGTAAGGGAACAAAATCCACTTTTAAATTATTTGACCTACCAAACAAGTTTGCGATATTAAAAACATACAGTTGTGTCATAGATAAAGGGCAGGGTTTTGAATTTTTTAGGGAAATTTTTTTGGGGGGAGACCCGGGAATGAAGATGATAACGACAAAACGCAACACGAAAATAAACTTTAGATGGCGATCACTGCGCGATGTACCGTGAATGGCAAGGCGCGCTGAATCGCACTGCACCACTATAAACCGCGCAGGAAAATCATCATTTCTACTCCGAGAAACTGTTCAAAAATTACACAGAAGTGTCATTATATTAAGAGAAGTCTGCTCTAGGTTGACAAGGTCATTTTGCATGGTAAAAAACACTCTTGACTCTAATTTTATCGAAACCAAACGGGCCCTACACTACACGATCGCTGAAAGTTTTCGTGTGTGATCGCAGCCATCATTTTGTGTTGGTTGCGCGATGCGCGGTTCAACATCCGGGACTGCAAAATGATTATGCTCCGTTTTGCATCCCATGATGCTTTGCAACAGGGCGCCCTCTGTTGATAGAAAGCTATTTGCGATAAACCTTATACCCACGTTTAACCAACGTTGCTTCGTTCTCAAAAGATAGCCCCACTAGTGTGGCCGCGATATTGCTGCGCTGTATCTCTGGCCACACGCCAGGTTGTCAAAGAGGTGTCCTAAACTAAAGTGAACTACACGAATTCCTTTGTAGTGCAATGCCTATTGCAAAATCAACGTGACTCAACAAATTAAACCCGGCCCAATCAACCACACCGTTTCCGAAGCAATTGAAATAAGATGATCGACTTAAATTGCGGGGAACTGAAGCAATATACTCTCAATGACTTAATAACTGTTAAAAACTTACCGATGCTGTGAAAAACTGCAATTGCAGTCGATTTGTCAGTTTCAACAAGAGCCTTTGCTTTCTCAAACTCGGCGGCCGCCATTTTCACTTTGTTGATATGACGGGTACCCGCGCGTATATCATGCATGAGCAACTCGGCATATCATAAGGTTGACGGAACCAGTTGAATTGTCTTGATTTTCCAGAATCCATGGGACAGCAGGATTTTAAAGTTATCGTACCCGTTTTCTGTATCTGGTTTATTTAACAGTTCAAGGCAAACTTCCAGAAGCCTATGTGAAGTAAAACATATTTAAGTCCTCATTATTTTGTTTCTTGCGTTTTGTGGTCGTGAATGATTGTTCGTGTTTTGTTTGATTTTAAAAATGTATTATATTCCACGCGGAGGAAATAGGGGAGGAGCTGACCAGTTCAGTTGGAGCGGTGTGAAGACAGATAAAGATAGAGAATATTACTTGGGTTCGTACATATTAATTATAATATTCTTTGCCATGCATGCCACGTTTGCCGAAACGCAGTGTGGCTATCGTTACGGCAGCCGTAACGCATTTCCCATTTTCTATCGTTACGGTAGTACTGCAACTTTTATGAAAACATGAGAAGAAAATATAAAATTAGAAGGAAAAAGTGAATTTGAACGTTATGAAATTCGGACTTTATTTCCCTTTTAAAAAAAATTCTCCAAAGCCTCACTGCCCTCAGGTTAGAAAAGGAAAAAAATTCGAGTGCAAAACTGAGATGCGAACCCGCAACCTCGCGGTGCAAAATCCTACCCTCTATCAACTGAGCTGCCGCACTGTGCGCTTAAACGTGGGGAAACAAATAATTATATACCTGCGTGCGTATCAAAAAAGTATCGTAGAGGGCGCTAAACAACGGCTGCCATAACGATAGCCACTCGTTGCCGAAAATGAGGCAAGCGGGGAGCACCAACGGCAATGCATGGCAACATGACTAGCCATATCATGTGGCCTCCGTATTGCTGCAGATTCGCTGTACGTTATTAGGCCACACCCACACGTCTGGTTTTCCAATGTACTGTTACTGAGGAGTTTATTCCAAACACTGGCACACCCTTTTTTGGCATTTTTTTTTACATATCACTGATATGGTTGTATTCAATGATATCTCATCTTTGATTGAGTTGAGGTTTTCTTTTTTTCTTTCATTTTTCAATATCCATTCTTTTCATTTTTCCATTCTTGCTCAACATGATACTCACGCGGAGCATCATAGTTCTAGCAGTAGCATTTGTTCATATACATCAACAAGTTTAAATCAATTAACAAATGGCAGTTTTGGACATAGCTATAGTCATGCTCAAAGGTGTTGATTTTAAGCAAAAATGGTGACATTTTACAACTGAAATAATCAGTTTTAAGTTACTTTTGTGTATTTTTAACTTTTAATTTTGTTAACACTCCAAATCCAGGTCACTCCTTGAAGGCACCTGTGGGCCGTTGGCAAGATGGGCGTGATCTGCAGTGGTTCAACAAATCCAGGAAAGAGGGAGACAGTTTGGCTGACGAACGGAGAGCCATCAAGCAGGCCGAGGAAGAAGCAATGATGGCTGCTCTGTAAGTCAAAAGAACAAGACTCATGTTCACTGTGGAGATGTACTTGCATTTGTTTATTGTGTAAATCGAGGGCACACACGTGCAACATCATTGATGAATTGAGGACAAGAACCAAGTCGAGGACTCCTCGGTTAGAAAACGTGTACAAAACCAATGAGAACTGTTGTAAAAAAGTAAGTATAAACAAAAGGAAAAGGGAAGAGGAACAATGAAAAAATCCTCGCTTTACACCATAAACAAATGTGCTTGTACATGTATGTGTTCACTCATGGTAACCATTACACTGCATGTCATAAGTAATCCTAACCTCCTAGACCTTTTGCTAGGGTGTAACCTCAATCGTGCAAAAACCTCCAACTGCCTGCATCTATAAATTGGATACAGCCTCAATCCTCCGAATTCTCTGTTGTTTCTTGAATTTGTTCATGGAGGGTGACCACTGCCTCAATCCTGCAATGTCCTGTTGACATGTTGAGGCAGTGCTGATAATATCCAGAAGCAGTGCAGATGATTTCAAGTATTATTTACGCCTACATTTGTGCATGGCTAAGCATAAACAACACAAGGTTTAGCCTAGACCTTGACACAATGCATCCTCCAAAATCAACCGATCCATTTTTGCCATACAGCCTCAGTCCTTTGAAATCCTCTACTTGTGTGGAGCGGATTTTGGAGGATTTAGGATGGTTTAATGATAACTTGACTTCAACGTTAATACTCTTTTTGAATTCTTGTTTAAAGTCATACCCATTGATTTTTGTCCCCCAGTGGTCAGAAGGTTGTCAAAAGTCCTTCTAATGCAGTATCATCAACACAGGTAAGAACAGTAACTGCATGTACTTGTGCATACCAGTAGTTTAGATATAAAACTTATAAAACACAGAAGGTGAACAAGTACTTTTATTATGAAGTGTAAATGCACATTTTGACATTCTTTATTGATTCAATAATATTCTAGTATTCAATAATATTCTAGGAATCAATAATAATTTTTTCATGGTCTCAATTGTATTTGTACATTTACCATTTACCAAGTTTACGTTCTTTTGTAGAATTGTTCATCAATGTACATTGTATTTTGAAGGAATATAACATTACATAATTGACTGAACTTGCATGGACTTGTTGATCGTTGGCCTACGTATAGAGAGAAGGTTTGCTTTCAAATAACAAATATGCAGATGGCAGATTCTAAGCCATTTAAAATAAGTAACGTGAGAATTAGCTAATGCATGAAAGTGTCATTTTTTTCATAGCAGGATCTCAATCCAGCAGTATCAGCACCATCAGGGAAAAGAAGGGAAGACAAACGGAAGAAACGAAGCAAAAGGTACAAATGTGCATGTACTCTATGAGTCATCTGAATGTTTAACCACTTTTCTCAGCTCGGCAAGTTCATGACACATCGCATTAATGTTCTTTTTTTCATATTGCCATTTTTCTTCACCAAACATCTATAGACTTGTTTGCTTTCCTTCTTTGAATTTTCCATTATCTTTTTTTATGTCACAGAATAAAATTTAGTACAGCTGCAATGGTGCATTCTTGCAACTGAACGAAATCAACTATAGTACTTACAATTTAGTCAATGTAGCAACTATTTTTTATCAGAAATGAACCAGGAAATTGATTAGGAGCTGTTAACAGCTTTGTGTTTTTATATGGTGTCATCATTGTTCCAAGCGCAGTTCACAACTCTACAGTCTGCAGAGTTTCCTACATGTTCACATACAGTGTAGTACTTCTTGCGCGTATTGTTCCCAAGCATTAGCGCTACAGAGCCAGGTTCAAACATTTCGTAAATGGGTAGTTTGGAAAAGTGCTAGTAAATTCTTAACTAATTTTATTCAAATAGAAGTACATTATAATTGTATTTAAAGAAGGGAAATTTCAGTAAGAGTTTAATACATGAATAGTCGCCTATGTTGCAAGTAGGCCTACATTTGTACCTCATGGCAACATTGATCAGTTGAAATAATGTATGTACAATGTACATACACATTATGTACATGTATACATTCATTCATTCATTCATTCATTCATACATACATATATGTCAATATTGCTGAAAACTTAACGAAACGAACCTTGAGTCTTTGAATAAATAACATTAATGAGAAAATGATTAAGGAGCATAACAGAAGATAATATATAAAGAGTATGAAATAAAGGAGGAACAGAGCGTAAAAAAAATGCTAAATTAACCAACAAGTAATGTAAACAATCCACAAATCTAAGACTCGTTAATCAAATCAGCAATATGGTGGCATGTGCAGAAGGCGAAGGCTTATATTGCCAGAACAAAAAAAACTTGAATGGAGAAAACAAGAAACAAAGACACAAAGACAAGAACATTAAGAGTGTTAAAGAAGTGTGCCTGCCTAGCTAAGAGCAAAAAGAAGAGAACAAAACAGCAGACGGGAGGAGGAAATAAGCACGATAGCGAGAGAATAGCTATGCTATGTAGGCCTAATGGAAATCAATTCCGCATCAAAGGAGTTCTTATACAGGGGAGTCTCGCAAAAAAAACGAATTTTCAAAGAGTCTCTTTTTCACATCTTTAAAGACAATTCATCGCGAATATCTATACATATTTGGAGAGTATAGTCCATTAGCTTTTCGACAACGAAAAAATCTTTCCAATCCGGAAAAGATTTATTAAGTTATGGCCGATTCAAAATAAGGGCCGGTTTTTCATTTAAGTAACGTAATGGATTTGGGGTAATTTTTCCTTAAGTAACGGTAGTCCTTTTTTGTTCTTGGTAGCCTTTTTTCACAAATGCAAGTTTCGGTCCTTTTTTTATGGCGACAGTGGAAATACCAGTCGCCGTGGACAAAATGTTAAAGCGGCACTTGTTTTCAATTGGTCATACCTCAACAAATATGTACCTGATTGAAAATACAATGTATGTTTGCATTGTTGAAAAGCTAATGTATTATACTCTCTAAATTAGATATTTGCGATGTATTTTTTCAAAGCTGTTAAAAAAAGAGGATGCTTTGAGGGTTCAGTTTTTTGTGAGACACCCTGTATATCAATAAAAAAAAATTCAAATGGAAGAAGTGTTGCTTCCTGTCAGTCGGTTCTTTAAGTCTCCGTCATGTCAGGGGGAAAATGTAGGGTGTGTTGTTTTGTATGTAGCTCCATACCAAATGTAAAACAACTTATTTAACAATACCAGAAATATACATAGTTAATCAAGTCCAAAATAACCACCGAATCGTCGACTTTACTTATATTTAATATCCAATACAAATTCACCAATTAATATATTGTAAATATTGGCTTTTTAGGTCGCATGATGTCAAGAGTAAAAAGAAACGCAAAAAGGAGAAAGCAAAGAAAGGAAAGAAGAAATCTAGATCTCACAAGCGAAGTCACCGGCACTCCAGTTCCGACTCGAGCTCCGAGTCTAGTTCATCCGACTCATCCAGTTCAGATGAATCCGAAGAAGAGATGACCAAACACAGGTGACTAAAAACATCTTGTATCAAAACTATTTTTGTCATCAATGGATTTTTGAAGAAGGTGTTAATATACACACAAACGAAAT